GACAGGTCTGGCTTCAAGAACAAGAACTTAATAGTTTTCTTTTGTCAGTTGTACTTTTGCTGCTGTAGACCCGAGTCTTGTTAGCATAATATGTCCTTTGGCCTCCAGCGTCGTTACCTAGGATAGCATAGATGGCCGTCAAGGCTAAACTATATTCTTTCTGTTTGTGTTGCTTCATAATACATTTTGTTCCGTAAGCTATTAACGCCCGCTGTTTTGTTTCCTCACTCTTGTGGGTTGTTTGTAGCTTTGGAATCTATTAGATGTCCTATTGCTGATTCTTTACAAAATTTTACTTATATTTATACTGGCACTTTCATTCAGGCCATTGTATTTTGCAGTGCATGACAGGGGAACCCTTCCTACCATTACACTTGTGTTATTCTCTTCTAAGAACGCCAAGCACGGGTGCGTATTATTTTTGTTTTCAAACCCACGGTGTGATTTGATTCACACTCCCGCTTTCTCATTTTACGCTTCTCCCTTTGTTTTTGTTCCTTGATCTTCCTTTGGTTTAACGAGAAAACGGGAGTGCAAAAATCACATCTTTAGCAGTTAGAAGGCAGAATTAGAGCTAGTATGGTATCCGATTCAAATTCAGGTTTACATAAAGATGAACAAATTGATAATCAACCATTTACATTTCATAATCCATGTTTAAGAAACAAAGGGAAATGTTAGTAACAGTAGAATTACAAAGTTATACAGCAAAACAACTGAGCCAGCAGTGGGATCTCGGCAATAGCAGGTTTTAGAGTTTTTGGTATGTACCCAATTTGCTGAGCAATCAGATGACCCAGAACCAAGATACAACCGAGCCAGCAGCCAACCCCAGAACCAAGAACAACACGATCACGATCCCGGCGGTCTCGGCATGTTGTAATTGGACAACTTTGGGAGCCAAAATCATCAACACACTGGTCAAGTAGCCGTTAGTGAGTCCCAAAAGGCAAGTTAGTATCGTCACTGGAATCTCTGTTCGGAAGAATTTGGGGCCGTGCAAGCACCCGTAGAAGAGAGGAAAGAAGAGCAATCGCACAACTGTACTGCCGATTGCAACCTTGGAACTTTTGGGGAGATACACAGAAGTCAGAGACTTGCCAACGAGATCAAACACATTGTAGCCAGCGATAAGGATGATCGGGTACCAATCCTTGAGAATTTGAGAGTGCACGTCTTCAGTAATGTATCCCGGGAAAATCGACAAAGTCACGATATAGATGAGGAGGATGCTAATTCCATACCACTTGACTCTATCGACTACGTGCCACAGAGTTGATCTCAACAGAGTCACTGTCCGCGGACCTTTCTCTTCTGTCTCATCGTTTACAGCCTGAACCTTTAAGTCTGCATAATACTTCATAACTGGAATCCTTGGTGCTACATTGTAGAAAACAATGCATATGACAATAATGACTATCCCGACGGCGAAGTAAAGGTTAGCACTTTTCCTCAGGCCATCGGCAGTTTGCGGATATACAGCCTTGGTTACGATCCTTAGAGCAGAAACGACGACTCCTGTAAAATCATATCCAAAATTTGGAAACTCTGATGAACTCATAACCAGTAACCTAGAGCAGAAAAATTAATATGCTTCAGCAATGAAATTTTCATTTGATACTTCCATAGAGACCTAAAAGTGCTTATGACAATCGGAAGCGTTTCTAACTACATTTGGTAGGAAAACAGGCCTCTATGGAGAAGGTTTCCTGCAGACTTCCAAGTGCTTTTCCAGAATGCAGTTAAACTTTTAATAACAATTTCAATGTGTTTCCATTAAAAGCACTTCTAGCGGAAGCGCTTATGACCAGAAGAGTTTCCCAAACGGCCATTCAGATTACACAGAGATTCAGAAAATCAAACAAAGTCATCTGGGATTAACTAAAATCAGAATTTAATTCAGAGAATGAAACAATGCCCAGAAACCAAAATCAAACAAAGAGAAAACCCAAAAATTGAAAATCCAGAGTCGACCGGAAAATCCAAAGAGCAGGGAGTTTTACCTGAACCAGCAGTCCCGGCCACAATGGCTTGTATATAAGTTCCGGGCAACTCACTAGCCGCCCCAATGAGCGAGCCTTGGACCAATGCATCCGCCACGCCGGAAAGCGCAACCGCCGCAACCGTCACGTAAAACCCGTCGTACAACCCGACCCGACCCTTGATGTAAAACACATCCATGAGGGGAACGACTAACAGCGAAACGACGAAGAGGCCCAGGCCCACATTGATCCGGACATAGGCTTCGGACTTGTGGGAGTAGAAGATTATCAGGAGGAGGCAGAAGAGGCCCACCACCATGTACACGACGGAGAATATCCGGTCGACGCTGGCATCTGGATAGAGGTAGGCGAAGTAATCGACGGCTGTGATGAAAGCGTTCCATGGGAGTAGGTAGCCGAGACCCAGTGTGAAGTAGATGATGTAGGCCAAGTGGAAGGAGTCCTTTGGGATTTTATTAGGTACGGCGGCGGCGGCGGTTACGGTGGGGAGCAGGAGGCTGGCCTCAGAATTTTCGTCGGCGGTTTTGGCATTGAAACCCATCGGAAATTGGTGGATGTGGATGTTTCACAATGGGTTTCCGGGTTCGGGTTGAGGGATTGGATCAGCTGAGAAAGCTCAGATCTTTGAGTTTTGCTTTTGGATTCCGGGAAGATATTTTGGCGATGGAGATTTGGTAGGACTGTTGGAGGTGAATGACGGAATGAGACGTTGTCGTTTTAGTCTCCAGTTATTGAATTGAGAGGTAACCAAATGTCATGTGCTTTTTCCTTCTTTTGTGGGAGTTTGAAACGATGTGCTTTTTATTTTATTAAGGTGACTAGGCTTTGGGTTGTAAACTTGTAATCACACTTCTTTTTTAAGAAAGTGTTGTACGTGAAGAATTGGACCCTTGCAAACGAGGATTGGCTCAGTTTGTAAGGTTTTTGTTTTATGTGTCGTTTTATTAAAATTTGAGTTTTGTTGCCAACAGTTGGTGCGTGATCTGTAAATTTCTATATGAATCTATATCAGTGGCAATGGCAGTTAGTTGCCACACGTAAGTCATTCTGGCTCAAGGTTGTGGGTATATCCTGACGCTGGTGGTGATAGTTAACTAATGCACACTAAACTTTTTGTTACCAGAATAAAAAATTTGGACCCTAAGCAGGTAAATATTTTTGGTGCAGGATGTCTGTCTTTATTAAAAAACATTAACTAGATTGAAAATACATAATCAAGTAGCTCTTAGTCTAATAGTGCTTTTCTTTTCAATTCTTGATGTTGAAAGAATTCCAATCTCCATTTTTGGTTTAATACTCAATGAATTTTACATTAGAGATGGAGGATTATGGCTAAACCCCATAGTAAATCAATATAATAAATTAATATCAAACTCATCATTTTATCAGAATCAACTCAAAAGCTCTCTTAGAGTTAATAAAAATATTGCTAAAACATGATACTAATAAGCTAATAGCTCGGATCTTCATCGTTGATTTAAAAAGAATGGAAGAGGACATGGTTGTTGATTTAGAGCCCAATAACTTGGGGCCCCAAGAATGACTCACGAGTCTCATGATCTAAAAAAAAAAAAAAAAAAAATAGAACCCAACCAATGATGGCAAGAAAGTCGATTTGGAGTGAGAATTATCACTGTGGCCGGAATATAGGGCAAAATATCATATGTTATTGTATAGTTGTAAAAAAAAAATTCTTTTCAAGTATCTCTTGAATTGTATAATATGTGTTGTTCTGCCTTGTATTTTGGCACACTAAAAAATCTCTCCAACTTGGAGGGACGTTCCCATTCAAAAATCTGAATTGACTTATCTAATTTTAGGTGTCCAATTTGCATAACTGCTGGTGTTTGTGTGGCATAAAAATTATCGCATTTGTGATCTTGATCAAGTCAAACAGTTCTTAGAAGATAGTGTGTTTTGGAATTGCGACTTTTACAAAGTAATTTTCTGCTATTAAATGATATTCTTTGGGTGATAAATGTATGCTTGTCAAACCAGAGAGATATGATCATACACCAGCTCAAATTCTCAATTTTGAAAATTGACCTTTAGAACTAAAGTTAAGAATCTTAATCTTGAGTGCAACATCTGTCTTTGAGAAGGTAATCTTAGGTAAGGCCGTAGAGCTCTTGATTAAAGAAACTTTCATATTGGGTGAGACCAACGTGAGGTCGAGTGAGACCAAAATACATAAGGTCCGCTATTATTTTTGGAAGAATTGCCCTACGAATGATGTGGTCAGGTGTCCCTACATAGGGTTTTCTCAATTCTTAGATTAAGTTTATTGTATTCATTCCAACCGGCCTTCCATCATTTTTAAATGAAATTTTGATCCCCAATGAGCTTGATTAGCAGGAGAATTGTACCATGCGTTTTGTCCCATTGGTTTGTCATTCCCTTAAATTTTTGACAACCAACTTCAGAAATCGCTCTCAAGATTTCTACATTCGGCATTGCTCGTTATTTATATCAATAAAATACTGTGGTTTGATTGATTCTTAACTAATTGTTTGATTAACAAAATGCTAATCTTGTTTCGATTAGCCTGCATAATACATGGCACGACAGAGCTATCTCACACACACCAGCTTTTTCTCTTCTGCATCACCTCACAGCCATTTGCCTTGTTTGCATTCTTCCAACTTCAAATAACTCCAAACACACACACACTCTCTCTCTCTCTCTCTACACACACACACACACACACACACACACACACACACACACACACACATACATATATGTTTTGTATAAAAGTTTGCAGATAAATTTATATGTGACAGCCGTCTCTTCTGAAAAATAGATATCCAAGCCAATGATCGATCCTCTTAGATTCTGAAATCATTCCAGATACCAAATTTGAAGTTTTTGAGCATCCGTTCTCCACAGAAACACAAGCACTAAGAACACATAATCTTCCCGAGGACGGTTTAAGGAGGGCATAATTCTGGCATCTAAATCTACCCTTTTGTTTATGATCCTTAAAACCCACCCTCCATGGCCAAACTTGTGTTGAATTTCCATCGTCTTAATCCGATGAAATATCACAAACCGCCCCTTATGATAGTACTCTTTCTTTTCCTCAGTGCCTTAAATTTTTCCTTCTCACAAACCCCAGATATTAAGTGTGTCCTTGATGTTCAAGACTCTTCAGAGTGGCGCAGCACGAGTTGTGAAGAAGGAAATTGGGGTGGATTTATCAGCAATTGTTGCGGAGCAGCTTTTGATGATTACTTATACGCCTTGGGGCACAGGGCAAACCGGACGGAGCACAGGGCATCCCGGACAGTGCAGCTCTTCTTAAACTCGACAGAGCAGACAAACTGCTTAATTTCAATGAAGGATATTAAAGATGGTGTTTTGAGTTGTGGAATTGACAAGCTAACAAGTGGAGCCGGCGGATGCTCTGACTACACGAAAGTAGATGTTTTCGACAATCTGGGGAACACACTGGAAAATTTAGATGAAGATTGTAAGCTTTTGGGCATGGGAGAAAAGTCCGAGCAGGATCAGGCTTGTAGTGCATGTCTCAGAAGGTGGGAAGAGATTGTGGCATCGTCGGAAAATGAGTCGTCGTCGTCAAAACTTGAAGCTGATATTTGTGGTTTTGCAGTTTTGGTAACTTTAACAAGCAGGAGGATTGATGATAAGAATTGGGTTTCAGCACTGTATGAATGCCTTGGGGATCAGAAACTTTCAGAAGGTATGGGCTGTCAAGAAAGAAACTGATACTATTTCATGTCTTCATTTTTCACAACAGTAAGTTGTATCATTTTGTTAAACTGTTGGAACTGCTTCCTACGGAAGCCCTTCTGCTATTAACTCATAAGCGCTTTTACTAAGGAGTGGATTTAGAAACAGTAGTCAGAAACGCTTTTGGTTGTAAGAGAATTCCTTTAGCCCTTTTAAAAAGCAGTCCCAAACAGACCCTAAACTGGAGCTGAGTCTCGCCTTTGCTTCTGTTGCAGATGTGCAGAGAAGTTCAAGAAGTACGGGCGTAAACTTGAGAACAGGTAATCTAACTTCCTAATTGTCACCACAACCATGTACGGGAAGTTGCTGGCAGTTTTTTTTCTTAAGATCAGTCGTGATGGTGTTTTGATTAATTTCATGAGAATGTCAGGTCTGTGGATTCTATGTGGAGGTGTGGCAGGAATTACAGCAATAATTCTCATTGCAACATGGACCTTATGCAGAAAAAGGACTCAGGAGAGTATTTTAGCTCGAAAAGATGGTATTTCTGCAACAAGTTTGATATCTTACTAGGAATTAACATAACAATTGTGAATTATTGCTTACCTTTTTTTACCGGACAGCATCAAATGATTTACTGTCTGAAGAATCCGTCAGCCTTAAGATATCAAGCAAGGAAATCTATTCGGCGACCGACAATCTAAGCGCAGTCAACTTCATTGGGCAAGGCGGAGCTGGTAAGAATCTTCCAGAACGGTAAGAATATTGGTTAGTTTTACGTAGGGTTTCAGTTAGTTCGGATATGAGTTTGAATACGTTGAGTAGTTCAGGAGCGACTCGAAAATGGCCATATTGTTTGGGTAATTTTTATGTAGTTAATCCAAAGTTTCCTTTCTGATACCATCTGATAATATTTCCAGGAAAGGTATATAAAGGCATACTATCAAATGGGAAACATGTTGCAGTGAAGCACATAATCAACGATGGATCTGTTGAGACATTCATCCGCGAAGTCACGAGCCTTTCCGATGTTAGACATCCAAACCTTGTAGCTTTGCTTGGCTCTTGTGAGGATGTAGAAGAATATTTCCTGGTCTATGAACTGTGTCAAAATGGGAACCTTTCGGAGTGGCTATTTGGTAAGTTTCCATTTCCATTCGCGTAGATTTTCTCTAGCATTTTCATCATTCGGAAAGCCAATTCAATCAAAGCTGATTGCAGGTAAAGATAAAAATCTGCCATGGAGAACGAGACTCGAGCTTGCAATTGACAGTGCTAGGGGCCTTTGGTTTCTGCACACTTATCCGGGAGGCTGCATTGTTCACCGTGATATCAAGGTAGGAATTTTTTTTTTTCTTTACACCGCCTCTGTAGCTGTTCATTTGCCACTCATTTCATCAAACTTCTTTTCTTGTCGCGTCCCAACTGGCAGCCAACAAACATTCTCATTGACGAAAACTTTCAAGCAAAACTGTCAGACTTCGGGTTATCTAAAGTTATGGACTTGGGACAGTCTTGTGTGAGCTCAGAAGTGAGAGGGACATTCGGTTATGTTGATCCTGAGTACCGAAAGAATCACCGCGTAAATGCTTCAGGAGATGTCTACAGTTTTGGAATAGTTCTTCTGCAACTTATCTCAGGGCGCAGGGTTATCAATCTAAACTCAAACAAACCAATGCCTCTTAGTAAAATGGTAACAAAGTTCATACTTTTTTCCCCACATATTGGCAAAACTATTTCGAGTCACTTATTCAGCCTCTTATGTTCCGTGTCTTTGTTCTTCAGGCAAGGGCTCTCACAAAAGGCGGTGATGTAACAGAATTCGCAGATCCCAAACTTAACGGGGAGTATTCGGTAGAAGCTTTTGACCTTGTGTTCAACCTAGCTTTGTCGTGCACAGGACTAAAGCTGCAGAGGCCAAGCATGGAGCAAGTGGTATCAAAACTTGAAAGGGCACTTGATACCTCAACCCGAAAACAGTCAGCTTCTTCTACCCTACCAATCAAGGCTGGAAATCGGAGAAACTCGAGCAGATAGTTTTGTAAATTGAAACAATCATGAATGATTTTAAATGGAAAAAGAATTACAATACATTGCAATATAACAATGATTTTGTACAAAAGCTTCATTGAAAAAAATAGAAGAAGCTGAGGTCGCTCTATTCTCTAGTTCCCTCCAAGCATTAGCAGCAGGGAAGAGCTCGTAAAGTTTACTCGTTGTACTTTTTTTTTTAGTCCTTAATATGAAGAATCTGTATTGATAGTACAGGTAGAGCAATAAGATTTCAATTAAATGTGCCTAATTTTTTCATTTACACGCTTTTGGGATCTATGTATTAATCGACGATGCAATCATTGGCAGAATATTTAACTGTAAATTTACTTCATTAGACCCAGAAAAAACTGTCGTGTGAGCCTCCAAAACTTCCATATTTACGATGGTAAATGAAAGTAAAAAAAATCTTCCGTACTTTTGACATGTCTAAAGGAGCTGTTTAGATGTTCTTGGATGAAACCTTCGATTTTCCAAAATCAGCGATAATCTATCAGATTAAACTGTCTGATTTGTACCCCTTGTTAGCTGGATTAAACTCTCTCAATTTCTTTGCCCGAGTGTCTTTGTTTGCATGTGGACGAACACAGTGCAATGCATGTGTAAGAAAAGTGAGCAAAATAAATTGTTCTTACTCGCTATCGATATGAGATGATTTCTTATCAAGGGTTCAAATACAAGATGAATCTTCTTTTATCGGAATCTTACCTCAACGTTGAGAATGTATTAAACAGTTCCATAGAGTGTCGTGACATTGGCATCAACAACTTGAAGTCCTAAGGAATCCATATTCTCCATCAACCTTGCAAACCCGCCTCGGTTCTGCTCAGAGAGCAGCTTAATCAAGCACTCTCTTCTGCCAGTCTGGTTCGCTTCCATTTGCACCAAAGACACGTGGGTGTTGGGAAAATAGCGGCTTCGTAGAGTGTTTCGAGTTGGGGAAGGCTAATGGGAGTGCGACCCGGGTACCGTCGATTATGGGAAGGGAAAGTGTACGTGAAGAGAGGTCGCCGGCGGTCGAGAGAGTCGACAGGGGGTAGGGGGTTCTAATTACGTGGAATTATTTTTAATTGTTGTGGGAGAAATAATATAATTTGGAAATGATTAAATTGTGTTTTACAATTAATTTATGCCAAGTCGAAGGTGTTAATTAGTTATGACTTGTGAAGAGAGGAAGGGAAGAAGAGACTTCCCTTTTGATTTTAATGATTATTGTGATTTCAGCGTAAATTTCTAATAAAGATAATGTCTGTTTATAGTAGGAGTGGACTTGCTTCAAAATCATGAAGAATGAGCAATCAAGAATGAACAAGTGGTGTGAGTACCACATTTCGTGAATGTTTATATTGTCACCAAATAGAATGGTCGAGTTGATCGAATGTTTTATACAAATGTATAGGACTATGTTTGATTAAAGAGTGATTAGTTGGAAACAAAATTTTTGATAAGCTCACTTTGGAGAAAGTCTAAAAAAAATATCATAAAAGCAACAAAAATTTATTGAACACTATTTGATTTTTGAAGACAATTCCATTATTGAATATGCCTCAATGTAGCGTTGAAAAAAAAAAAAAAAAGAGGAGGGATCGGTCTGACACTAATGATTGGTACTCGGAGAAATGGCTACCTTTCTAGTGACAGCTCTTGTGGATAATCGGTAGAGAACTAACGATCATATCATTTTCAATTTTATTTATTTATTTTCATTGAATTTTTTTTCTTCTTACATTTCTTTATTTAAATTCAAATACCTTTAGATTTAGATTTATATTCTTGTTTTTTGTGTGTCAAGCAGCCCCATTTTCAGTGCTGTATTTTTTGTGCTTCGAGTCGACATCAGCTTGTGCGACGGATCCCGCCTCGTTTTGCATGCCAGAAGCTGCCACATTTTTTATGAGCAGAGTTTGACTCGTTTTACGTGAATAGAACCCACTTTTTTTGTGTGACATGAGCTCACCTCGTTTTGCGTGCATGAAGCCCACTTTGCTTTTCCTACATCCAGGTTCGCCTTGTTCTGCGTGTGCAGAGTCTGCCTCATTTGGCGTGCGTGCCTAACACCCACATTTGTTTGTTAAAAGTTCAAATTTTTTATTTTTGCGAAATATTTTTTGGGAGCATTGCTTTATTTACGAATTGTAAAATCAACTAAAAATCATGAGTGTCAACCCACATTTTTGTCATAAATGTAAAAATTTCATTTTCGCGAAATATTTTTCATGAGCATTAGGTTAAATTTTTAACGAATTTGAAAGCAGTTTTACGGTTTATTAAGCAACAAATGTATATTTAGTAGAATATTTAATCCGAAAACTAAAAAAATAAGTAAAAAATATAGTAGTACGGCCCAAAACATTGTCAAATGGGGTTCTACACTCAAGAATGTCAATGGAAAGTCTCAACTTAATTTTCAAAATTTCATAGTAAGGCGAAGGTGAAAATAAATAGATTGAATAGTGATTTATGTACAAATTTGCAAAACTGACTGAAAACAATGAGGGTTAAAAACCCACGATTTTTTGTAAAAAAAAATACAAATTTTTTATTTTCCCAAAATACTTTCCGTGAACATTTAAGGAAATCTTTATAATGTATTTGGAAGTGGATTTACAATTTATTGAGCAACAAATATATATTTAGTAGAATATTTAAGCTCAAAAATAAAAAAATAAGTGAAAAATATAGCAAAATATGGCAGTGAGGCCAAAACATTGTCAAATGGGGTTCCAACCTCAAGAATCTCTACGGAAGTCTTACCTTAATTTTTAAAACTTTACGGTGAGGCCAATATGAAAATAAATGGATTGAACAAATGATTTAAGCCTTGGGTTCAGTTGGCTCTGTAGATGCTAAAAGGTTTTGGATTTAGTTGGCACATGGTTAGATCAACGTATCATAATTATCAAAACAACTAATTAACATACTATTAATGACAGAGAGAGTAAGACACATTAATCATGTAAACTGAGCCGTGATTTGTGATTTGAAAAGGAGAAAATGATGAATCAACAAACCATGGAAAGTTGATTTGCCAGTAGACCAACCACTTAACCAACAATTAATTCAACAGAAACATTTCTAGAGTTCGTCACAAAGAAGCAAAAGTTTTTATCACCATCATCATCACCACCCTAATGCCATCATGACATCACAGCCACTTATTTTGATGCAGTTCTCCATTTGTTTTTGGCAACGACAAAAAAAGCTTATGAAGTTCATAGCCATGCAGGATTCTTCAGGGGGGTGACAACAGCCTTGACTTGCAAGTAATTGGAAAGACCATAAATGCCCTTCTCTCTTCCGATTCCACTCATCTTGTACCCTCCGAAAGGAATAGAGGCATCAAAGACATCGAAGCAGTTTATAAATACACTACCGACGCGCAATGCGCGAGTCAATGTGTTCGCAGTGTCTATGTTTTGTGTAAAGACCCCTGCAGCAAGTCCATAGCGAGAGTTATTTGCCCTTTGTATCACCTCATTAAGATCCCTGCAATCAGCCATATCGTTAGTTCCAATGGAAGCGCCGGACGCTGTAATCACAGCAGGCATAGAGAAAGAGGATTTTATTGCTTACTTGTACTTCAAGATGGTCTGCACCGGACCAAATATCTCTTCGCGAGCTATTCGCATGTCATCCTACTCCACGAGATAGCAATGTTTAGATCAATATAAATATATAATCATGTTTCGGCTTCTCAATAAATATTATGGTTTTTATGATCTGCAACGTAAATTGGTACCTGAACATCTGAGAATACGGTGGGCTTAATATAGAAACCCTTTGTGCCAACCCTCTCTCCTCCGGTTTCCAGTTTAGCCCCAGCTTTAACACCGTAATCTATGTACTTCAGGATCTTCTCAAATTGGTCTGAATCGATCTGATTTAGAATACAAAACCGGAAATGCAGGTGAGGCTGTGTAAACAACATTCGACAGCAGTATGTTTAATGGTCAGAGATCAATAGAGGTGTCACTTGTTTTACCTGAGGACCTTGCTCAATGCCCCCTTTGAACGGGTCTCCAACAAGGCGCCTCTCAGCACGGGCTTTTGCTTTCTCTAAGAACTCGTCATATACTTTTTCATGTACAAAAGTACGAGAACCAGCGCAGCAGCATTGACCCTACAAACAGAGGTGTCATGTAATCAGCAAATGGATTTCTTTGCCCCTTAGAATCAAACTTTTTTCCGAAGACAATGCTTAGATACCTGATTAAAGAATAGAGCGAAATGTGCCATCTCAACAGCCTTATCTACATCAGCATCCTCACATACAATGAACGGGGATTTCCCGCCAAGCTCCAAAGTTACGGTCTTAAGATTGCTTTTGGCAGCCAATTCAAGTATTTTTTTACCGGTGTCAGTTGATCCAGTAAACGCAACCTGTGGAAGGATGAACGGTAATTTTAGCAGGAACATCGCAATCAGATAACAAATTGATGCAAAGTTGCAAACTGGAACACTAGCAGACGCATTACTATTACTCGAATTCGTTGCAGCCTTTAGCAACATTTGTTCATCATGAATTTGGAGAAGTTATGCTTGAGCAAAAGATGTTATTGTGGATACAATAAATATTTGAGAAATTCTCAGTTCTTATGAACTTACATAAGATGGCTAATTACAAGAAAGAAGCTTACATTAATTATACATTACCTTATCAACGTCCATATGGCTGGCAAGAGATGCACCAGCAGTTGGACCAAAACCACTAACCACATTCAAAACACCCGGAGGAAGTCCGGCCTGTGAAAAAAAAAAACCAAAAGGAAAATCAATCAGTATTAGTAATTGAAAGATCAATGTGAAAGCTCATTCACATAATCCACTCGCAGGTTCAACTCAAAACAGAAAATTGTTAAAATCCGTCAAATCAGAATGAAAGGTAAAGCACCACAGTAAGCACGGAAAGGCGGATTATCTCTAAAAATTTCAACTGGACTTGAGACACCATTGAAGCAAATGAGACCACATCGAAGCAAACGCATGGGAAAGTGAACTTATCAAAAAGGGTAATGCAGAAAATTTTGATTCGTGAAGTACCTCTTGCAACAGGTTTGCTGCATATAGAGCAGACAACGGTGTCTGCTCTGCGGACTTCAGAACAATGGTGTTGCCGCATGCTAAAGCAGGCGCAACCTTCCAAGCAAACATGAGAAGAGGGAAATTCCATGGTATAATCTGACCTGCAACACCGATAGGTTCATGCAAGGTTTGCACATGATACTCTCCATCGGCTGGAACTGTGAGACCATGAATCTTGTCCGCAAATCCTGTGGTATATCCAAGATCAGATCATAAATTTTGTTCAAACCCCATAAAGCATAAGGTGTAGTTGTGTAA